CTTATGCACTGTTGGTGGGAATGTAAATTGGTGTAGCCACTATGGAAAACAGTGTGGAGGTTCCTCAAAATATTAAAAATAGAAGAAGCATATTGATCCCTCAATTCCACTGCTGGGTATTTATCCAAAGAAAATGAAAGCACTAACTCAAAAAGATATACATACCCCCATATCCATTGCAGCACTATGTACAATAGCCAAGATATGGAAACAACCTAAGTGCCTATTAGTGGATCAATGGATAAATTGTTCTGTGTGTGTATATATATATGTATATATATATGTTGTGTGTGTGTATATATATATATATATATATACACACACACAACATATATGTTGTATATATGTTCCACACAATGGAATATCATTCCGCCATAAAGAAGAAGGAAATCTTACCATTTGCAACAATATGGATGGACCTCGAGGGCATTGTGCTTAGTGAAATAAGTCAAAGACAAATACTGTATGATCTCTCTTATATGTGGAATCTGAAAAATGTATATATATATAAACAAGCTCATTGATACAGAGTACAGATTGTGGTTGCCTGAGGAGGGGGATGGAGGATGGGAGAAATGGGCGAACTACTTTTGGTTTTGTTTTAGTTTAAATTAAAAAACAAACAAACAACAAATGAGAATCACAGAGGCTATGTAAGGAGGGACACTTGACAGGACCTGTGACCTCTGGAGGAAGGATGCCATCAGCTTAAGGCAACCTCTGAGAGGGAGTCAGAAGAATACTTTAATGTCACTGTTTTCCCTTTGACAACCTGCTCATTCTCCCTATTGTCCAAACCCCCTTGTAAGTCAGAGGGCAATGAAGCCCATTGAGGTACTTCCTATAAATCAGACTCATAGGGCATAAACTAGAGTGGAATAACTCTGGTGGTGTAAATGGAGAATATCCAACACAGAACACATGAATGTTGGTTTTACATGTCTCTTTCTGGTGTGTGTGTGCCTGTGTGTGCAGCATGCAAGATACCAGGCCTCAGAGAACTGCTTTTGTCGATTCATTCTGAAGCAGTAACTAGCCATAAGCTCTAGGTTGCCCCAGCAAGGCCCTAAGCAAACATAGGTGCTAGGGTTACTCTGGGTCCAAGATCTCAAGTCACCATTCTTGCTGTTTCTTGTCATTTGGCAGGATAATGACTATAATTGGATACAGTGAACACTAGATGCGAGTGTTTCCTTCTTCAAGGAACCGTCCGTAGTAAATGGTTGACGGGAGGAATTGGTGAGTTTTTCCAAGCGGGTTCTTCTGTGCTCTTGTCCATGTCATGGAGGCCTCTGCCCAGTGGTGTGCTGCAACTGGTTTGTACCAACTCACAAGAGCCAGTTGCTTGCATCGCTTCCCAATTTCAATTCAGAAAATCACGTTGGTAGCTTGAAATTGACTGTGGTGTGAGAATTTATACCCTGGAAATTGGCAAACTCTATAAGTCACTTTATTTGCTTCTCCTAGAGAGTTTGCTTGTAAACATTGAGCAGCACACCACTGCCTTTGCATATGGAAGTTCTCTGAATAAATTATGGAGGAGAGTTCTAGGAGATAGAACTTTCTGCTGAGTCTCATAAGGAAGGATTTACCCTCCTTGTTTTATCATTTTTCTCTCAAAATTTGATTTCCAATTTTCCTAAAATTTTCCAGTTTTTGAATTATCTTCCCCTTAACCACAAAAGTACCAGCCCACCTGAGTGTTAGGGAATTTATAACTTTCATATCGGCTTGTAAAAAGTCCTGAATCAGTCTGCATATACTCTTTTTTGTATTATTTTTTAGTTACATCTGCATGACTGTTTACCTATTTTATTGTGTATATATCAACCCAGCTGAGTTACTCCAGGTCAGTTGGGATGGGGACTTTTGTTTGTCATTGCTATATCCTCCTGTGACTGTGTCAATATTTCCATTCAATCAAAATGATGGACTGTGATGTATAGGATGCTGTGCTGGATGCTGAGGGCCACTGAGGGAGAGCTGGGGTGCAGCAGATAACCTGAGGGGTTTAGGAAGACATTTTTATTTATCACCTTCCTTCTTGGATAATTGTCATTTTTATGTAGGGGAGGTGTCCTGGTAGTGCCATGGATGTTCAAAACACATCGTTTTCAGATGTGGAATCAGTAACAGAAGGGCATTAGAGATGAGATTTGCCTTCGAGAGCTTACTAACGCTGATCGAAGCCAAAATTTATTTGTTCTGTTTGTGCTTCTAGATCCCTTCTCCTCTCTTTTCTGCACTGCTGTGAGCCCTGGGAGGCAGACCTCCATGGACTATGTCCTGAGGTTCCTTTGCATTCTACTTCCTACTGGATTTGCTCAACAAGGGGCACCAACCGGAGATCAGAGGAAGAAGAAGAGATAAATCAGTTTAGCCATGACTCTCTCTGCCAATATCAAAGGCTGTCTCCAATCCCCATAGTACCCTCCTTCCCCGACGGCCCCTGTCTCTTCATGTTAGGGGTGGTAACGGCTCCATTCTGGTAGATGCGTAACAGACCCTGGGTGCATCACCAAAGCCTGTTGGTTCCCTTAACTTCCTTAAAAAAAATCCTTTATGTAACACTCTTCAATCACCTCATTACATTGGACCATCTATCACCTGTTAGGACCCTGACTAATACACTGCTTATAATGGTGTTTTAAATACGGATTTTTGGCTAAGAGAAAACAGGGAGAGATGTTTTCCATTGCTGGTGGGACTTTCTTGTGTACCAGCCCCAAACCAAACTACAGTACTTTGTTGGCTCCCAGATTTCCCTGGGGGATCTCAGTCTTCCAAGGAGGAATGCCATTCCTTTTGGCCTCACCAAGTTATTCTAATGGCTCTCTGTTTTTTTTTTTTTTTAATTGCAAATGATACTTGGTTCGTGACTTCCTTTCTCTTTTTATTGCACCCCAACCTCATGCCCATCCTCTTGTCTGTTTCCCTTAATACGACAGTTACGCCTCAAACTCCATTAAGTGTAGCAATTTCTTCTAGTCCGGGAGTATTTCTGCAGTTGCAAATAATCATGTGAATGTACTAGATTTATTAAAGCATTTGGAAATATCACTATGGCTATAAATGTCTGTAGCATTTCCAGAATATAGAAAGGCTACCGGCAAATCTGCCAGAGAACAGTCTCTTACCAATCCTTACACTAGCACTTCTACATCTGTTATGCTTAAAATTTTTAAACTAATGTATTCATTCCAGGAACAGCAGAACAAAAAGATATCCAGCTAGGAGATCTATTTTCATATCAATATTTAAAATGCTTTCAATATTCACCATTTCACGCTTACTAAATCTCCCATGACTTCTTGCTTTCAGGAAATCCATCAATTACAAACTAAAGCGAACATATAAAGGAACCTGTAAAATGCAATACACATTGGCAGGCAGGGAGTCCAAAGCTCACTAGAGAGAGCAATTAGCAAAATCTCTCCCAATTCATGCAAATGAATAAATTTGTCACCATCTTGAAAATACATATTTATTATTACTCCAAAGAGAGGCAGTCAGAGTCTAATTTTAGAATCTGGCCTCCAGGGGAAAGTATTCTATAAAGTGATGAACATGAATAGAAAATTCACACTAAAAAAATAAAATGTAAAAAACAAACGTATTAAGAACGTTAACAATACTAATGAAATTATGGAAAATAAAGCAATGGCTTTTTTTGCCTTTTAAACTGGAAAAATGTTTAAAAGATAATATTGATGAATGCTGAGGGAAAAGAATGTTATATTGTGATTAAAATCATGATATTTGAAGTCACACGCTTGGGTTTGAGTCTCTACTTCATTTCTAACTGAGTAACTTTGGACATTTAACTTAATCTGTTTGTGCCACAGTTCTTTAATCTATAAAATGGGGATGATTATAATACATATTACAAAGTTATTGAGAATATTTAAAAATACAACATCTGTAAAATAGAACAGACTCTGCCACATGGTAAGGGCTTAGTAATTATCAGCAATTATTATTACAGCTATGATGAATGATGACCTGTGGTGAGAAGGGCAGTGGATTGGGTGTCCAACACTTCTTTATACTGTAATGTGAGTACAAATTGGCATAAACTTTCTGGAGGGAAGTTGCATATCTACCTTTAAAAAGTTGGCTTTCTCTAATACCTAAAACCATTTCTAAGCATTTATCATAAGGAAATTATCACAGAGACAAAGATGTCTTTCCAAGGATGTTCATTTTAGCATCATTTATAGACAGTCATTAGACATGATGTCTAAAAATGGCAATATAAAAATCTTTCAATGGAATATTATGTAATAAATAACACTTAATATTATTTAATGTTTTAGAAAACATATACGTAAAAAAGCAGAATATAAAATGTTTATGTAGTTGGACTCTAATGTTTACTTTAAAATATAAATTTTTTAAATTACATGTATGCACAAAATTGTATATATAAAATGAAAACTTCATATATATATATATATGAAAATGTGTAAAGAAATTCATCAATTATTGACTTCAAATGGCATTATTGTGGGTGATTTTTGTTGACTTTTTTATATATTTGTGTTTTTTAAGATTTTTATTATGAGCATTAATTAGTTTCAAAATTGGAAGAAAATCTGATAAAAATCTTCTTAAGCACGCTATATGTAATGAACAGATGTTCAAGCTAGAGAAGTCCTTGATCGTCTCCCACTCATCTTTCTTTTCCTGACAGTTGCATGCTCAGTTAGCTGCATTTACAACTTCACGCACAATTGCTAACCTTTTGTCATAAGTATGACTGCAATTACCTGGGCAGCAACCTTGAACCAATTTAGTACCCAAACATAAACATAACTCATCTCCATTTTCAAGGTACTTAATAACTAACATTTACCTGTCATTTATTGAGAAGATACTCTATTCCAGACATTGATATTTTGCATGCATTCTCTACTTTAATCTTTGCAATTATCCTGTGAATTAGGTACAATATTCGCTATTTTATGGGAGAAGAAGAATTCAAGACTTATTGAGATTACCTTGTCCTCCACAGTTGCACAAATCTCAAAACTGGAATTTGATGCCAAATCAGTTGGACTCAGAGACTAAGCTTTACCCCCTGTGTATGCTGCCTCTCCACAAACGCCTCCTGCATTACCCGGCTTCTTTTCTTGGCTCTCACTATTGAGAAGAAGAGGAAAAAATTATTCCAATGTGTCATCAAAGATTTATTGATGTCTGGAAAGTGATTATAAAATAACTTGGAATGTAACAGCTGTGGTTAATATATAAACTAAATAAGCAGACTAAATTGGAGATTAGTTGCAGACATTTTCCTAAAGACAATATATTTACCAAAAAATAAAAGAGGAAAGGATTAATCAAATATAGGAAATATTTGGCAAACCATAGTATTATTTTTTACAAGAAAAACAATCTGCTTTATATGGACATTAATTTCTTAACAGTGAAAATATTTCTTGTCTTGTTCTGTCTTTGCAGTGATGATTTTGGTGGATGAGTGGATTTTCTTTCCCATCTTTTTATCATAATGATGTTCATATGATCCTTTGCAGTTATTCTCAGGCCACATTAATGTAGTCTTGGTTTTCTAATGGGACAATTAAGGCAAGAGCAATGATATATTTTTCACATAAAAATATATGAGCTAAAGTAGAAATTGATTCTGTTCCTGGTTCTACCAGTGATTTGCTGTAATTGCCTATTCAGAGAGGATAGGGTTAAATACCATCTCCTCATTTGTGTAATAAAAGGGCACTTCATAATCACAAACTTGTCTTTTGTGTCATTCTGTGGTTCTGGTAGTACTAGAACATCATTAGATATACAGTAAATATAGAATGAATACATATCTTTAAGTTACTTCCTAATCCTATCTATTCTTCAAGGCCTAGCTGAAGCCTCACCTCCTTCATGAAGATTCCCCTAAGTACTTAAGCTGCCGGAACTCATAAATAGTCAGTACAGTAATTACATGCTATCTTTAAACACTGCTTAATAAACTCACATATGGAAGTCCTTGTTTTAAAATAAGTTGTAAATCAACTTGACAGAGACAGGTTTTTAACTCATAATTCTATACACTCCTTGGGTTCAATCACAGTGTTGGTCTCACCGTTGATGCTTAGAAAATTCTTGTCAAATGTGGAGCAAATTTGTATCAGCAGCTAGATTCAGAATTTTTGATGTCAAGACATTTCTCTTATCGAAGTGATGCTCCTCAGATTGCAGCGCGGGTCTTCCTCTATGCCTGATGCTGTTTGATCACCATCACCATCACAATCATCATCGTCATCACAATCATCATCATCATCTTCATGCTCAAGAAGCATTTATTTGGTCCTTCTGGGATGAATGGGAGCAGCCCAAGCTTTACCTTCGGGTGAGATGAGAAATAGTTGGCTATCATTCTCTATGTAATAACCTTTCATATGTTTAAAGACTATTTCCAGAGTCTAAGATCATTAATTTTAAAAGAGCCTCAAACTTTGGACAAGGGCAATTGCTACAGAGGATGGAATGAGAAGAATGATGGAGAACATGTTATGGGGAGAGGAGGGAGTGTGTATGTTACCAGCTTACTACACATCTCTCCACCCCGCATAATGCAGCAGGCAAGTGCAGGAGAAGATGAGCTGTCAGTCTCTTGGTTCACATCATTTGTCATGAGTCCTCTTGTGCCTGCAAAGGCGGGGATGACTCTGTTAGTATGCAGAGCTTGTCACAGGACCAGCAGTATCTATGCACACTGAGTGCACTTTTGCTCTTGTCAGTTAATGTCACTGAGAATGGCTGTATGACAGGATGGCAATTTTGCCAGTGCTCTTGGCAGTTGAAATTAAAATTAAATTCCCTAATACAGATTTAAAGAAGATAGATGGTTTTCCTCACTCTCCAAAGAGGTGGAGGATAAATTTAGAGCACTCTTTTGGCAGTCATGGTTTACATTTAAAAACTCACCTAAAATCTGTAGGATAGCCTTGAAACAGGACTAAGTTTTGATGAATTAGATAAAGGATTAGAGACCACCTTGAAAAATATGCATGTGATTTCCACATTGAACTGCAAGCTTCTAGGATTAATCATTTTGTGTCATTACTCACACACCTATTCGCAAAGAGGTAGTTGTTTCTGGAAGATGGCATCGAAAAAGTAAAGGCCAGTTTGAATAGAAATCCAAATTTGATCACCCATCCTCTGAAGAGAAGGGAAACCACATAACTTCAGCTTTCAAAATCACCTCTTTTCTAGTTTTTTTTTTTGTCCAAAGTCTGAGTTACATATTTCTTGACTGTATTTCATTTTCAGTTCTTATGTCTCCTTTTTATTTGATTCAAGAGGATTTCTCTCTCTATATAAGATATCTTCCTTGATTTTTGCTTTTTAGTCCAAGGAATTCAATTAAATTCATCTGGAAGATGGAAAGCTGAGCCCCATACAGGTAGTAACAAATATTACAAATATTGAGAAGGATGTAAAAATATCCTGATTTGAGATGCAAGGGATTTAACAGTACTCAGAGGTTTTAATTAATTAATAATTTATTTTTTCTTAGTAATCATTTCTCTTCTTTTTCTAATTCCCTTTGCTTGGGCACTGGAAAATATTCTTTTGCCAGAATGCTGAAGCCGACGCAAACAGACAGGCTTCCTCATCCCCTATCTTTCTCTAGTAACTGCTCCCTGCTCCCACAGCCAGAATTGGTGTCATTGAATATGTATACTTATATAGAGATGATTCTTATCCGTACTAGCTCCATTCTATGAAGTTGTTGCAGACATTGAGTTAGCAAACACCGAATCAATACAGAGTTAGGCTCCTATGAGCCTCTCATCACAACATTCTTGTGAACTGATCAGTACATAGCCTTGCTTTATGTGTGTTTCTGTTTAAAGATACCTTATTTAATATATATTGCCAAATCATTAACATTGAACTCAAGACCAACAGCTCTATAACTCATGCTTGAATGATGGGTATCTAACACATATATTTCTCTGGAAGGCATTTCACAGCCTTATTGCACTTTGTAACACTAGACAGCACTTCAGTCCTGCAACTGGGGTCATTTTAAACAGCGAAATCAACAAAAAGCACAAATTTTTAAAAATGTGGCACTTAATGGACCACGAAAAAGACACTTGTTTACAGTATGAGAGTTGAAGCAAGAAGACAGTGTCACCTTGTTTGACTTCAGCTGGGAATGTGCATTGGGTGATTCAAATTTTCTTCCCTCTCCATATGTCTGCGAATGACCATGAAAGCCCCCTAAGTATTGACTTTATCCTTACGAATGAATTTTAGCAAGTAGGTGAACTTATAATGTGGAAGCCACAGATAATAAGGGTCAATTGTCTCTATGTGTGTGTGTGTATGTATCTCATCTAAATTAATTGCAGAGGAGCAATTTGCATAAACTTAACAAATTTAGCAGCCTAAATTGGCAACATTAATAACTTCCTGGGCAGTCCTTAGATGGGGAGAGACTCAGTCTTACCGTTCACCTTCTGTGTCTCCCCTTACCATTGCTCACTAAAGATACTGATCCACAGAAGTATGACACTGAGACCTTCAGTTCCCCACAGGAGAAAGCTATAATCCTTCCACAGGATTTCTCTGCCTATTCGTTAACGTTATGTCCTAGCCTGGAGATTCCCAAAAAGAGAGAGAGACCCCACTTCTCTCTCTTCTGTGTCTTCTTGACATTTAGTACACTTCCCTCGATCATATTACATGTTACAGAAGCACCACTGTTATGTACATAGCATTGCTTATACTTGCGAACTTTTATTTAAAAAAGGAAGCTACATTCAAGTTAAAAACCAGTCAAGCGTGACTACTACTAACAGATGGTGTTAGTGTTTACTTATATAGCACTTTGGTCCAACCAAGAAACTGAATCTGAGGAGAAGTTTTCAGAACCTAATATGTATGTCAGTAGAGCAGCTTCTATACTTGTGAATGCGTCCATCTCCTCCATTTGGCTGTTTTGAAGGCAGCAATGGTGTTTTATTGATTTTTGTACCCTTCATGTATATCATAGTGTCTGATACTGGATAGATACATCTCAACAAAATATAATTTGTTTTGAATAGAATAAGGTATCATCACTGAATTCAAGAAACTTTCATTTCAGTCAAGTTTTTTTCAGTTCAGAAAATGTTCTCCTCTCTATGAGAAGATGGGTTGAATTTTAGGTTCACCAATTTGAAAGGGTAGGAAGTTTTTTCTGGTTTTTCCAGGTTGTTCTTTTTAATTTTTTTTCTTATTAAAACAATACCATGTTTATTGTAAGAAAATTATAATATATACAAACAAAAAGAAGAAAATAAAACTCATCAATAATTCTTCTTCTCAGTTATAATAACCCTTAATATTTTAGTATATCTTCTTTTTTTTTCACGTATCATCCCATCTAGAGTAAAATCTACTCCTTCCCCGTCCTCTACCCTAGACTGAGAATTAGAGAGTTACTGTTACTTTTGTGAATGTGGCTTATTTCTCTGGGGTGTGACATGGTTTAAAGCATTTCTTATTAAATTTTCCATTGAAAAAATGTTCTAAACAAAGTTCTTTGTTAATAGGTAGAAGATCCACAGGAGAAGGCACAAATAAATATGCAGGTTATTGGAGACAGCCACAGCCTACAAGAGCAATTGTATTGACACTTCAAGTAAAAATTGTAGAAGCCTTCGTCAGAGGAGTTTCCTGTCCTTGGAAAGGAAGGGAAGATTTCTCAACTTTACATTTGAAATAGTATTGAATCAACTCTTCATATCTGGTGTCATAATCTCAAGGCAGGGCTCAATATAGGTGCTGTGTTTAATCATCCATCAAACATTGTGATTTATGTTCTCAATGCCACACTTGTTGATTTCTTTCAAACAAAACCTAGAAGGGGAACTCAGATCACATTTAGAAAGGATGACTTCACTGCCAGTAAAAATAATTCAAACAATTACATAATTAAAATAACATCAATAACAACAGCTATCAAAACAGACAAACACTAAAATTCAGGAAAGAAATAAGTAACCTTAGTCAAGGCAAGTCGTTTTTGGGCCTCCTTGAAATGATAACTGTGTCTGACACAATTATACTCAGTACAAACTTCTAGCAGAGCCTCCATGATAGTTTTTAAACAGCTTTATTGAGGAATAATTGATATTCAATAAGCTGAACATGTTTAGAGTGTACAATTTGATAACTTTTACATACACATGCCCCTGTGAAACTATCCCCACCATCAAGATAATGAGCACATCCCCAATCATTTCCTCACGATCCTCATGATACCTTCCTTCCACCACTTCATGCTCATACTCATCTCCACGCAAACACTAGGTTGCTTTCTTTCACTATAGATAGTTTGAATTTCCTAGAATTCACGCAAATGGAACCGCACCGTAGGTACCCTATTTCTCTGGTTTCTTTCATTCAGAATTATTACTTTGAAATACATCTATGTTTTTACATATAGGAATAGTTTATCCCTTTGTATTGCAGGATATTATTCTATTTTATGGATATACCACAATTTGCTTATCCATTCAGATGATGACGGGCATTTGGATTGTTTCATGTTTTTGGCTATTACAAATAAAGCTGCTATGAAAATTTGAGGGTCAGTCATTTGCAGACGTATGCTTTCATTTCTCTTAAATAAATACCTAGGAGTGGAATGATTGGGTCATATAGTAAATGTATACTTAGAGTTTTAAGAAGTTGCTTAACTGTTTCCAAAGTGATTGCACCATTTTATATTCCCACCAGCAGTACTTGAGAGATATGGTTTCTTCACATCCTCTCCAATACTTAACATGATTTGTCTTTTTAATTTTAGACATTCTAATAATGTGTGCTGGTATCATATTGTGGTCTTAATTTGCATTCCCCTGATGACTAATTATAGTGAATATCTTTTCATGTACTTATTTACAATCTGTGTATCTTCTTTTCTGAAGTATCTTTTTAAATTTTTTGCCCAATATGTTAGTATAATATATTATACTTTTTTGTGTAATCTTATTATTGAGTCTTGAGAGTTATTTATATCTTGTGGGTATATATTATATATATATATATATGTGTATATATATATATATATATATATATGTCCTTCATTAGATGAATAGTAGGCAAATATTTTCTCCTAGCCTATGACTTGTGCTTTCATTCTTTTTTGTTCAAAGAGCAGAAGTTCTTAATTTTGATGAAGTCCAATTATTAAATCTTTTACAGGCTCCT